CTTCCCGAACCAAGACTCCACTTATCGCTATCTCCGAGACTGCTAAGTACAAGTACAGTTGTTCGTCTGTCTTTGGTGTGTGAAGCAGCGGTGGGCTCAATAAGTATCTTTTGAGCTCCTCCAGAGCTCGTTGACATTCCGGAGTCCATGAGAAGTCATTCTTCTTTTTCAATAGTGTGAAGAATCGGTGGCTCTTGTCGGAGGACCTCAAAATAAATTACCCCAGGGCAGATATGCGCCCGGTTAACCTTTGCACAACCTTTACGGTGTCCATGACTGTGATGTCTTCGATAGCTTTGATCTTGTCCGGGTTGATCTCGATTCCTCGGTTGGATACCATGAACCCGAGGAATTTTCCTAATCCGACTCCGAATGCACACTTTTCTGGGTTCAACTTCATATTGTACTTCTTTAATATGCTGAAGATTTCCTGCAAATATTTTAAATGGTCCTCTGCTCGCAGGGACTTAACTAACATATCATCAATGTAAACTTCTATCATTTTTCCTATATTTTCCTCAAACATCCGGTTTACTAGGCGTTGATAAGTGGCACCGGAATGTTTTAATCGGAATGACATTACGTTATAGTAGTACGTGCCGTATTTAGTCATGAAGGAGGTTTTTTCCTGGTCATCCGTATTTGGTTGTACCCGGAATAGGCGTCGAGAAAACTAAGGATCTTGTGGCCGGCCATTGCATCGATCATGCGATCAATGTTGGGCAAAGGTAAAGAGTCCTTGGGACATGCTTTGTTCAAATCTTTATAATCTATGCACATTCTTAATTTGTCCCCTTTTTTAGGGACTACCACTACGTTTGCTAACCAATCCGGGTACTTAACCTCCCAAATATACCCTATTTTAAGGAGTTTAGATACCTCGTCCTTGATGAAAGCATATTTTACTTCGGACTGGGGCCTTCTCTTCTGCTTGACCGAATTGATTTTTGGGTCCAGGCTTAGCTTGTGAGTGGTTATCTCCGGTGGGATCCCTGTCATATCAAGATGTAACCAAGCAAAACAATCTATGTTAGCTATAAGATATTGAATAAATTTTTTCCTGAGCTCGGGAGTTAACCCCGTGCCCAGGTATACCTTCCGATCGGGTAGGTACTCGATCAATATAACCTATTCCAGCTCTTCGACTATCGATTTGGTTGCGTCGGAGTCATCGGGGATTATAAAAGATCGGGGAACCCCGTAATCATCAACTTCATAAGTATTTTGCTTATCCGGTTAGGTCGCGGCCAGTATCGGTGATTGCTATTGGGCTCCTTGGTTTGCGCTCAAATTTGGTTCCTTCGATGTTATGAGTATTGATATTGGAATCACTTTTTCGACTTCAAACATCTCTTTTGCAGCCGATTGTTCCCCGTAGATTGTCTTAACCCCCCCTCCCCCACACACACCGGGGTTGGGAATTTTAACACTTGGTGAAGAGTTGAGGGCACTGCCCTCATGTGGTGGATCCATAGCCTTCCGAGAAGTGCATTGTACCTCATGTCCCCTTCGATCACATAAAACTTGGCCTCTCGTATGATTCCGGTGGTATTGACCAGTTACGTTACCTCTCCCTTGGTGGTTTCACATGCCATGTTGTACCCGTTTAGGACTCGGACTGCAGGTACGATTTAGTCTTATAGACCGAGTTGTTCCACGGCCCTCGACCGAATGATGTTGGCCGAGCTACCTAGATCAATTAACACACATTTAATTCTAGTTTTATTTATGAGTACAGAATTACCAATGCATCATTGTGAGGTTGTATGATCCCTTTCGCATCACCGTCGCTGAAAGATAAGATTCCTTCCGGTATGTAGTCTCGAGTTAGTTTCTCCCTAGTGATGGATACTTTGGTGCGTTTCAACACCGGCCTTTGTGGGATATCAACTCCACTGATGATCATATTAATGACGTGTTGAGGTTTGATATCTTCTTGTTCTATCTGTCTGTTAGAATCCCTGTTCTTGAAATAATTCTTGGCCCGGTCGCTCAAGAACTCTCAAAGGTGCCCATTGTTGAATAGTCGGGCTACTTCTTCTCTCAGTTGTTGACAATCTTCCGTTCTATGGCCATGAGTTCCATGATATTTGCACAGCTGGTTGGGATCCCTTTGAGCTGGATCGGATTTTAGAGGTCGAGGCCATTTGGTATCCTTGATGCGCCCGATAGCTGATACAATGGCGGCAACATCGATATTAAAGTTGTACTCCGATAATCTCGGCGCTTCTTTAGGCCCAATGGACCTGTCGAAGCTGTTTTTGGTCATAAGACCCCGGTTACCTCGACCTTGGTCATTTCTCTTTCGTTTCTTATGGGGTTCCGCCCGAACCCACTGCTCTTCCGATCTCCGTTATATGGTTGATACCGATCCCTATTTGATCTTGGTTCATGATTTATGTCTCTCTTGACTTTGTCGAGGGTTTTGGCAGGATAAACAGACTCTGAAAGGGCCCCGAGCTGATCATTTTTTACTCTGATTTTAGATTGATACCGATTATGTACATCGGTCCAGGTAACGACAGGGTATTCGATCAGATTCTGCTTCAATTATTGTGAAGCCATTGAGCTTTGAATATTGAGTCCCTGAGTGAAAGCTTGAACAACCCAATCATTAGCGACCGACGGCAGATCCATCTGTTCCATTTGAAAATGGGACATGAATTCCCTGAGCATCTCATTATCCTTTTGTTTGACATTGAAAAGGTCCGATTTCCTGGCTTCGACCTTGATGGTACCAGCATGTGCTTTTACGAAAGAGTCTGCAAGTATAGTAAATGAGTCAATACAATTAGAAGGTAAGTTGTGATACCATATCATGGCTCCCTTTAACAGGGTCTCCCCAAATTTTTTCAGTAGAACACATTCGATCTCGTCGTCTTCCAAGTATAAGAGGTTACATGCTCGTTAGGATCGGTTGTCTTGTTATACTTAGGTATTTCGAACATACGGAATTTCTTGGGGATCGACTTCGGAGCCGCGCTTAGAGGAAAAGGTTTTTGCACGAACTTCCTGGAATCCAGTCCTTTCAATATAGGAGGTGCTCCTGGGATTTGATCTACCCTGGAATTGTAGGTTTCCACCTTTTTGTCGTTCGCTTCGATTTTCTTTTCCCCTGATTCTATCCGCTTTGTCAGCTCCTCGAACATCTTTATAATTTCGGGGTTAGCGCCCGATTATTGTTCATTACTACGACTGGTTCAGTTCTGCGAGTGACTTCTTGGGGCGGATCGGGTTCAACCCTGCTCAGTTCCTGGCTTTGGCTCTGCAACTGAGCTATCGCCACATGTTGCGCTTGCAGCATTTCGAAGATCATTCGTAGGCTGATTCCGTCTTCTTCAATGTTTTGTGTGTTTCGAGCTGCCGATCGGGCTCCACCACAGACATTATTTCTGGGGTCAGTAGGCAAGTTCGCGTCGATGGCCACATGTGAATTAAGATCAATCGGATCTGCGGTCCGAATTCCAACGGGATCAACGGGTGGCCCTATGTTACCGGGCGCCATGTTGTCATTCTCACCATGATGACCGGAATCGTTGTCGATATGTAGGGATGTTAATTGAGGGTTTGTCATTTTTAGCCTGAAATCAAAGACACTTCAAAGAGCAAGTGTAAAGTAGTGTGTGTTATGGAGATTTGCATCAAATAACCACTATTATCCTTAGCCCCACGGTGGGCGCCAAACTGTTTACCCTCAAAATCGGATTACAATTGAATTTGTACGTGGTTTTAATGATACGTGATCTAATTTGATACAGAGTGATAAATCAGATTAATTATGAAAATAAAAGATAAATGCAAACCACGCAAGTTGAGCAATCCTAACCTTGTGAGATTAACCTCCCTCGAGATAGAAATAATATTATCAATGCCGGGATAGAATGAACTGTGACAAAGCTAGAAATAGCAGTATATTACTTTTTGATATGTGTTACAATGTGTGTTGTTATGAATTACTAAGTCCCCTTTATATATTAAGGGAGACATATCTTTTAAGGTATTATTTTATTATATAAAAGGCATAAGTCCTTGATTTTGAAGACCGTTGGTTCCCTTTTTTACTTAGTTCCATGATTTCTGTCATAATAATTGGTTAATGGCGAGAATTACGGACCCTTGTCGGATGAGTTGATAAAGCTTTCTTCGATATCGTTAGAAACAGGACCGATCATGTTTTCGGTAGACTCGAGGGGAAATCTGATGGTCTCGAAGGCTAGTTTTGACAATGCTTTGGGTCCGATTTCGAATATCATATTCCGATCTTGGCTGACCATGTTAGACGTAAAATCGAACTTCGATTTTTACCCAATTACAGATATACCGACCCTGGCCTACCGTTTCAGATGCTCAATCGAGCTAAGCAAGCTCGATTTTACGCGTATACACTTTTTGTTTGTTATTTTTGCAACATTAGAAACGGATTTGAATCGTGTCAAATCTTATTTTCTCCAATTCTCTCAAAACCTTATATTGGAATATACCATAAGTGAGGCCATATCAAGTTACATAAAATCACACAGAGTGATCAATACTCAATATGTAAGTTTTGGAGTCGCATTAAGTCATTAATTAACACTGAATAACTGTTTAAGTTGTTTACTTCCTTGTATAACATTAATTAGTCATATTACATCTACTAATTATCAATTCTTATCCAATTTACCTTTTTTAGATAAAGGCGAACATACACTATTATATGCGCGCGCGCACACACCCCAATGGGACAGAACATGTCTAGCCAGTCCAAACACCCTCCACCAACAACAATGATCGTCCAAGATGGTCTCTGTTTTTTCCTTTATTTGATTGCTATACCTGTAAAGAAACCTCCAAATATTGCAACTTTTATGATAATTAATAAGATTGGGTATATTCGATCCATAACTCAAGTTAAGTATACGACAAAGACCCTTCTCTCTGTCTTCTTGTTCATCAGTCTCTGGGGGTATCAAGTTCCAAAAGGTAAGAACTTTTTTGTTTATATTAACACTTGTTATTCCATGCATAGCCATACTCACCAACTTTACTCTGCTTCTTCTTACTATTCTCTTTATACTTTCAGTTTTCAGCTTGTAGATTTTCATTTCTCCTGCTATTGAGAACAGAAGTGGAGTAAATGGATGCAATTTTGAATCTTCAAACAGTACCGTTAGGAACTGCTCTTACAATAGGTGGTCCAGCAGTTGCTCTTGGTGGGATTTCACTATGGTTCCTTAAAGAGTATGTTAATGATCAAAAGAGGAAATCTTCTAATTTTCTCCCACCTTTGCCAGGTACTTCCATTTCTTTTGAATCTTATATGATCAATTTCATGTCATTCTATTATTTACAGATGCGAATCCAAGATTTAAACTTAGCTAGACATAGATTTGGTTGAAACTTGAAAAAAAGAGTTTTTGAAGTTGTGTTGAAAAATAATTTTTGAAAGTTAGAAATTGTGTTTGAATATGCATTTTATTTGAAAAAAATTTGAAGTTTTGTGAAAGTAAGAAAAAATTTCACCAAAAAACTGTCCTAAACCAGACAAATAATGTTTTCAATTTTTTCTTGAAAAACTTGTCATATTCCATGAATAAATAATGTTTTCAAATTTTTTTTTGAAAAAAGTTGCCAACATCTATGACCAAACGGGAGCTTATTACCTTCAATCTTTAAGGTTCTTAGACTAACTTATTGTACTTTTAAAATTATGGGTTCATATTGATATTTGTTGAAATTTTAGTGGTGTTTTACATATATGTTCCGTGTCGAAAATTCTAGAATCAGTTGAATCCATTGTACAAAGGCCGCATCTGCCTCTGATTATGTGGATTGAAGTTAAATGATCCAATATGTACAACAGAGTTTGCTGAAACATATATAGCATGTAGATAGGTAAATACTGATGAGAAGTATGTGTGAATTTGGTGCAGAGGTTCCAGGATTACCAGTGATTGGGAATTTACTGCAGCTTACTGAGAAAAAACCCCACAAGACGTTTACAAATTGGGCTGAAACCTATGGACCAATCTATTCCATCAAAACCGGCGCCAATACAATTGTTGTCCTCAATACTAATGAGCTTGCCAAGGAGGTAATCGAAATAGCCACTCTCAAATCTCTTTTCTGTATTAATCCAAAAATAAATGCAGTTTGAACCCTAACTTATTAATATACAAGTAGTATAAATTAGTTAAAATGTTAAGCAGAAAGATTAGAGTGGCTGACGGAGAAACATAGACGGATAAACTTGGTCCTTCAAACCGCATAATTCAGTAGGAATTGGACATGCTTCTTTTCTAACAAGTAGTTAGAGTTAGAAAAGCTTCAATGCAGTCTCACTGAATTAGGATCTTAGAATCCGCTTACCTATAGGATCTAACGTAAAGTAAGCGTCCACAACCTCTAGATAGTTGCTAAAGGGAATTCATTCCCTAGTTCCTCTTTGTAAAGACTAGGCCATACTATGAAGGTGGAGTAGTTGGTGGTTTAGACAACTGCTACTTGCATATTTGGTTTATATATATCCCTGGATTATATGTTGATTGGTCTCTGGGAAGGCCTCGACTGTTCTAATGGAAAACCTTCTTGTGTTGTGGTTCTAAGTCACTGTACTAAATATAACAAAAGAGTGTCATGTACCACCTCAGTCGTGGTATATATTGATGATGTATCAGCAAATATTCCATTTTCACTATACAGATGGTTGAGGCTTTATAAATTTCTGATAATATCAGAAAAAATACAAAGAATAGGAAGATCCTTCTAAACTGATGTTGAGGTTAGACAACTAATTGCACATCATTGCAGAGAGCTTAAAGTAAGTATTTAGCACTAGTTTCCTTGCCAGAGGAGCTTGAGATAAAGCACAGAGTATTACAATGTTCACTGTATTGTAGTCATTTATCATGTAGAAGAAGCATCAACACCAAAGTAGCTGATACTTAGAATAGTATACAGGTAATATCAACAGTTCAGTGGCGATATCATCAATATGTTGTGGTAAAAACCAATACATAGAGCCATGCTTGATGCTTGTTTTTAAGTCATTCTTGTGTCATTTGTGTGGCTTATCATATCTGTACTCATGATACAACACTTCTTTTCTTTTTTTTGTTGAAATTTTGTTATTGTGCTTGTTCATCATTTTAGGCTATGGTGACTAGATATTCAGCCATCTCAACAAGAAAGTTAACAAATGCATTAAAAATCCTTACTTGTGACAAGAGTATAGTCGCAATAAGTGATTATGATGAGTTTCACAAGACAGTGAAGCGCCACGTACTGACCAGTGTTCTAGGACCAAATGCTCAGGTTTGTCATTTAGAAATTGGCCTCCACATTTCATTATTTTACATTATAATTTGGTTCTCTTCTTTTGATCCATAGACTAGATTTCTAACGGGAAATTCTGCTTAATATGCAGAAACGCCACCGTATCCACAGGGACACTTTGATAGAAAATGTATCTAAGCAACTGCATGATTTGGTTAGGAAGTATCCTAATGAAGCAGTAAATCTCAGGAAGATATTCCAGTCAGAACTTTTTGGCTTGGCACTGAAACAAGTCAGTTTTTCAGAATTCAGTTTCACCAGTGTGTTGTGGTTTTGGCACTTTTTTGAAACTGCTCAATTACTTGAAGGGAGTTAACTTTATTTGCAGGCTTTGGGCAAGGATATCGAGTCTATTTATGTGGAGGGACTCGATGCCACATTGCCAAGAGAGGACGTACTGAAGACCTTAGTACTTGATATAATGGAGGGTGCAATTGATGTGGACTGGAGAGATTTCTTCCCCTATCTAAAATGGGTTCCTAATAAAAGCTTTGAG